TGAAGACCATGAAGACGATAGAAAGACAAACAAAGTGAAGGTTCTTACCAACTCAACGATTTGTGATGAAGATATCACTTGTAGGCTTCAAGAACAAAGCTTTGAATAATYTTKATSGTGATGATGACTCTTGGCCAAGCAAAAGGAGAGAAAAAAAAAAGAAGAGAGAATGATGTGTTTTGATTTTTCTTAGGAATGGGAGTAATTAGGGTTTAGAAGGAGATAAGGAAGTGTTGAAGATTATCAACAACTAATATATTTAAATTTTGAAATTCTATGGATAATTATACATATATATATTATTTAAATTTATTTAAAACTACTTGATTTATTTCTTTTATATGATAAGCTCTTTTGATAATATTAGTTTTTTTTTTAACAACCTAACTAGTTAACATTATTAACTCAAATCATTTGCTTAAGGCTTTTAGTCACCGGTACAATGCACATAAAACATTTATATAGACTAATTATGTACTCGGAAAAAAGAAATTCAACTTAGGAATTATAAACACTTAACTTTTCTCTACTATTAGAATGACTAGAGTACTTAAGGGGAAAAAAAATGAACACACCCAACTCCTAAAATTTCACACCTTATGTTTCAGGAAGCATGTGAGCACATAAATTTACTAAAAGGGTTAACGTTAGGTTTCGAGTTACGGTTGACTAACCTAGTTTGGTGACGGATGTCACATTTATATTCAATGGTTTTTTTAGCAAGACACTACGTTCTTGTTTCTGGTGGTGGAGAACAAATTTGTTTTTATGATTTTGGTAAAATTAAGGCTTATGTACGTAAGGCAAGTCGGGTTGGATGCCCTCGAGCATCTGGCTGCATGAGAAGGTTGTGTAAACCAGATGTGTTTGCTTAAACTGCAATGATTAGAGTTGTAGTTTCAAAGGGAAGTTTAGATGGGTATTTGAGGACTCGACGAGAAATGCATGGAGAGTGATAAGGTTCGTAAGACGCATAAAATTTACACCAAGATACTGTTGAAGAACTTTAAGATTGTGAATTTGATGTCGGCTTCTTGCAATAAGAGTTTGAGATTGTGTATCCGATGTCGGTTTCTTGCATTAAGAACTTTGAGATTGTGAATATGATGTTGGTTCAATTATCATACATTGCATCAATGTCAACAAGAGGGACAGATTAGAACCAAGAGATTTTGGAAATGTCATGGCCAAATACAGAATAAATGAAGTTTAGGGACTAATTTTGTCAAAATTGACAAACGTTATGGATCAAAACCGAATTTACTCAAAACAAAATTATATATATATATACACTATATTATAAAGCATTTGACAAAATCTCTTAAAACTATTTTTTATGCATAAGCACAACTTATTAAAGCTTCATATTTGAATTCGTGTAACTAACTGCGGATAAACATAATTAAATAGATAATAAACATCTCATTTTAAAATATAAAAAATCTAAAATATAATTAGGATAATCATCGAGTTCTAACAAAATAATTAATTATTATCTTTATAAGAAAATTATATTATTAAATCAAATATAAATTATTTCGTTATTGAACCTAAATTAAATTATAATAAAAAAATTGAATTAAAAATTACAAAAAATGAGGAATTTTAAATAGTTAATTTGATACTAATATCGATATATTTTTGTCAAAATTTTATGATATCTTCAAATTTATACTTTATTCAAAAATAAAAACATCATCGTTTTTTCAAAACCACATAAGATCATATTATAACATCGACTGAGATAAAAAATAAAATAAAATATTAAAATCAAGATGTATCTCGTTGCATTGCACGAGTAACCTTCTAGTTAAACTAAATTGAGTCTCATTATAAAAACAAATTATTAAATTGTAACGCTATGAACGTCTTTATTTTATGCGTTTAGTTTAGTTGTCGGGAACTCTTTTTTAGTTATATTTACAACTTCTTTTGTAAGTTGGATACAATGTGTTGTCTATTTGGAATATTTTGACTACTCATCTTTTTTTTTTCACCTCCAACTTTTGCTTTAATTTCGTCTATATTAATATTCTCTTCGTTTGAAATAAATAAACCTCGTAATTTAATATATATGTTAGAGTCCTACATCGGTTAGACTTGGACAATTCTTCTTTATATATGTTGAAACTTCTCTTTTCTCTTCGATCAATGGCTCTTTTGGATATTAATATGAGGTTTCATATATTCTCACATGATATCAGAGTCAAGATTTATCACTCTAGAGACTCGATACTCTGGGGCAATCGTCTGGCCTTCACCCGTCTGACCCCCTCTCGACACTCTGGGACAATAAGTGTTTGTCTAGTATTTGTTGGAGGGGGCTGTTAGAGTCTCACATCGACTAGACTTGGATAATTTCCCTCTATATATGTTGGAACCTCTCTTCTTTTCTCAAGGACTCTTTTGGAGGTTAATATGAGGTTTCACATTTTCTCACAATATAATTGTTTTAACATAAGCCTTTGGTTAAGTTGTGCAATTTCCACCATCAATCGTTGGAAAATGACAGATCGACAAAAAAAAAATTGTATATGCTCGGGTATTTCGAAAATTTCAAAGTCATGCTTTTACATAATGTAATTTCTAAAATGTGGTCTTTACATAACATATATACAAGAAGGATGATGTGAGAAGAGAAGTTAATGTGAGAAGCGTAAAAAGGGATTTGAACCCTTAATCACCTTTAATCTCAAACTCATCCATGAATCGTGTTTGATACGAGAGATTGATCTGGTACATCTCATCCTAATGTGCATCAAAGGGTGAATATCTTTTCTTACATTTCTCACTTAACTCTGAATATTACAGGTGTATTCCAATTTGTTTGGAGCAATTGCAAAAACAAAAAAAATAAATAAGAAACATGGATGTCCCCGGAAAACCTTTCAAGATTTCCCATAATGAATAGTGGCATACGTGGTGTAAATCAAGTAGAGCTTTTAACGAGTTATTCGAGTTCGTTTATCTCGAATTCGAGTTCAGTAGATCTCGTATATAAAATAGAACTTATTTAACTTCACGAGTTGAGTTGAGTTTCATAAAATCAATGTTTAACTCGGTTCATTTGAAAGCTCGATTAAATTTTTTGAGCTGACCCATTCGAGTATATATGTTGTTGAGCCAAACATGCTCATATGTTTATAAATAATACAATAAAAATATAAAAAATTATAAATCTTGAGTCAATAAAAATGAGTTAATCGATCGTGAGTACAAACCCGTAAACGAGTATCGACTGGAAAACTCAAAAAATATTATAGCTTGAGAACTTAAAAAATATTCTCGAGCTCGAGGCTGGTATAATATTTTCGAGTCGAACCCGAATGACCTAGTACTCGATTTGGCCCGTTTACACCCTTTGTCTCCGGTCGATTTGAACTTCTTGTACCAATCTCTCAAAAACAATTGAGCTACTTAAAACATGTTTAAGAGTAGATGAATTTTATTTTCATCAACCATATATAAATGTTATCTTTTTTTTAAGTATATAATATTTATATACGGCAAATGCAACAAATAAACTCACATCATTTTTATCTTTGGTGAAGTTTGAACCTCTGACCTCTTAGGAGGTCAAGACTACGATACCGTTAAGTCAGAGGCTCTTTGATACTTCAATGTTGGAGTCTGAACATTTTTCTTGAATATATGTTCGAAGATTATTATACTCCTCCATGGATCAACGGCTAGCTCAAGAGTAATTAATCGATCTAATGGGTTCCAGGGTGGCATTATAATCAATCAACATCTGGTCACGGGATGCCTGCATGTCCTACAAGACGATCGATGTTGTTTTCAATTCCAATTAGCTTTGGTTGTTCCAGATACCACTCGACCAATCTCACCTTAAGATTCCCATGGTGTTGTGTGGGTTTAGAAAAAGATTCTGGATTCCCCTCGATCCAAAATTTCCCTTCTCCCACCCATTAACACGTGGGCAAGCGATGCCTTATATACAAACTGTCTTTTCTTCACGCCTTAAAGGTCCCAACACACACTCCTCATCGATCTCTTAGGGAGATATATATAGATATATGTATATATTCTCCACCCTAGCTACGTAGGTTGCTGGAAACCCTTATATAAACCTCCACTCTCATCTTCAAACATTCATATATTTCTTGTTCCCTAAGTCTCATAGAACCCCAATCTTGATTCTTGAAACCTAATTCAAGAATTCATTAAAAGATATATATCCATGTCTGGTGTTTGGGTGTTCAAGAACGGTGTGGTTCGACTGGTGGAGAACCCTGGAAGCGATTCGTTTCAGGGCTCTATTCGACGAAAGGTGCTGGTTCATGTAGCCACGAACGAAGTGGTGACTTCGTACGAGGTGCTGGAAAGAATCTTGTCGTCATTCGGATGGGAGAGGTACTACGACGATCCTGATCTGTTTCAGTTTCACAAAAGATCAACAGTCCACCTCATTTCGCTCCCGAGAGACTTCAACAAGCTCAAGTCCATGCACATGTACGATATCGTCGTCAAGAATCGCAATGTGTTTGAAGTAAGAGACATATAGTAAGCTAGCTAGCTAATTAAGTAGCCAGTACCCATGGCTCGTTGGTTAGCTAGCTAGCTCGATCTGTGTTGTGTTCATCTGTATCTTTGTTTATTTGTTTGATTGTTTGTTCCCCGTGATGATGGGTATGAGTGAAAGTACCTCTGCTGACAAAGTAAGTCCAAGTTTGATTATGCGCAGTTGAATCAAAAGTTTGTATTTTTTTTAGGTTTAAGAAGCTAATTGCTTGTAGCTCAAGGGTTGTTTGGTGTTCTTGTGTATCTGTAAATCTTGTATGGTGTTTCCTGTAATGAAAAATCAAGCTTCTGTGTGATCACAAGTCTCTGCGTCTATACATACACACACACACACATATATATATATATATATATATGTATATCTCCTTTTTCCTTCTTTTCTGCTTGTATGTATATATAGACACACACACATACAAGTATACACGCATGATGGCGCACGATGTGTAACGCTCCTCGATCGATTTGGTGACAGTTGCTGATTGAAGGAAGTCGTTTAATGCAATGTTTACTTTGTATTCGTTTAAACTTCGTAATTACAATTCGAACCCATGATCTTTCTTTCATAAAAAAACAAACCCAAATTTAATTTGTGGTCCAAGATTATGCTTAGATGATAAGCATTCATTTTTAATCGCCATATACAGCATAAGATTCTGAGTTTAACTTTGATAATTATATATACGGTATAATGTTTCAAGTAAATGGGCAATCCAAGTGCTTTCCCCATGGTTTCACCAAGCTCTAATCGAACCATTGACACCGCTCGTGTTCGGGCTTCTAAATCTAACGATTACATATTCAAGAACTGAAATTTGCAAGCTTAATTAACAGCAGTTTAGCACTGTTCTTTGAACAGTAGGCATGCAAAATTATAAACTGAACCAGGTATAATCTTACTATATAAAAAGGTTCAGAATATGTCCTTTTCTTTTCTTTTTTTATTGGTAAAGTTTAAGGAGTGACATATAAAAAATTATAATGGCATCTGATGTCTTATTAGGTTATATATACATACACACACATATCTATATATCATAAGCAATATATAATTGCCATATATATATATGTTTGATTGCATAAGCAATGATGGCATCAAAAGGGTTTATAGATATAAGTTGAAGTTTTCTAAATTGAATAGAATGGAGGTATTCAATTCCCATTAATTAGTCGAGTTAAGATGGAAAAGGTTCATCCATTGATCGTCAAAATTAAACTGGCTCCTACAGATAAGGAGGTTATATATAATCGATGGACAGCCATTAATTCATAAAAGTGGTCAGCTACAGTTCTTTCCTTTTCATGGCAGTCAACCCATTCCTGTAGTTATGGGCTGCATGCTGCTGCTATACCTACTCATATATTGGATACACAAAGGAAGAAATGAAATCATTCATGGAAGCCATATCATATCCTATCATTATTGATCCGATTTCTATCCATTTGGGATGGGATAAAAAAGGAGATATATCATCGGTTTGATTCTGATGTATGTTGGTCACATGATCGGTGGCCCTTTTTCCCCTTCAATTATCATCTCCTTTTGATTCCATTCTTTCAAGATTCATGATCACCATCAGCAATTGCTTTAGTTTGAATCCGAGATTAAAAGGGTATTCGATCGGGTTGTTTGTATGGATATATACATGGCATGTTCGGAAAGCATTACGAGTCGAATTTATATCTAGTTGTCAAACTCATGATATTCTTATCAAATTTGGGGCAAAAGAGATAGATAGATAGATAAAGATTGGTGGCTAATGTTAATAGAAGTGAACTTTGTTATGTGTTGCTTGGATGCAAAATGGGATTCAAGAAATGTTCTTTTGGGGCAAAAAGCGAAAAGATGGAGCTCGTTTAAGGGTTTAATATCAAATAAACGTATACTAACACGTTTTTCGGCCTTCAGCTAAGGGCATATGAGTTGTATAGAAAGCATAACAAGGCCTTTTAGCAGTATCATTATACTCTGGTGTGTACATGTGAAGATGTCGTGAAATGACCACTCCACATGAATTGAATACGGAAAGTTAGCTTTTGGGGCTTACATTGTTTGATAAGATAGGAATTAAAGTTTGAAAATCGTATCCGCCAAATTTTATCGAGGATATGATAGAGACATCTGATTCTTTTTTCATGGGATCGATATAACTTATTGTATTACAAAAAATATCAAGAAACATGAAGTACTACTCAAAATCATAAATCTCTAGATCGGCATTCATTGATGTGGATCAAATCAAAGAGTTGGCGGAAGCATTCAAGGACCCAATAGAGAAAGGGAGTTAATGGGTCGAAAAGATGTCAAACTTAAAACGATCATAACTTTTGATCTATTAAGAGTGACAGGGCTTATGAGATATGCACGAAAATCGTGCAATTATCCAGACATGATGACAAACACCCACTGTAGTTTGACCCCACTTTAATTTGTCATAAAAAATTTCATCTATGTCCTAGAAATCAACTTCGAAAAAAGGCGAAATAAGAAAGTAGACACTACTTTTAAGACATGACATTTATTTTAAAATAAAAATATCGTAAATATTTATTTTGAGATTTAAAAATACCATGAAAAAGAATGGACCCAAGCTTGTGGTGCCAACCAGACATGGAACACTTGGCCTCATGGTCAGGAGCAAAGATCCTTCATAAGAAAATGAGGCTTGAAAAATTTAATAGAATTGAAGCATGGTTAGAAAGAGCATATCCACAATTAAGCATTTTGAAAAGCTTAATAGAAGAATTGAAGCATGGTTGTAAATATTTTGATTTCGAGGTTGATTAATATTTATTCATGTTTAGGTTTAACTTGATTATATTTGGTGCTCACTTATATCAATGGTATGACGAAGGATCGTGTGAGAAGAGAGGTTATTATGAAAAAAACATAAGAAGAGATATGAACTCTTGATCACTTCTAATCTTATGTCCACCCATTACCCTTTAAAAGGGAATTCATCCGGTGCACCTGATCATTAGCGTCGACATTTAATTAGAATTGATCCAATGATGAAGATCTATTCTTACGCTTCTCACTATAACTTCTCTTCTCACCGGAATCCAACCCTCAATGTTATTATGTTAATTTGTTTATATTGACATCAACATAATAATTTGTTAATTTTGGGTCAATTTGTGTATATTTGGTCTTAAATCTTTAAATTTAGGGCTACTAGTTTATGTTAACTTCAAGGACTAACCCTTTAGGGTTAGGGGTTGTTTGTTTACCTCTTAATAGTTATATTAAGAGTAGTCAACATCTTAATCGTTAAGAAATTAATCTTGTTTGGCAAAACAAAATCTGTCTCCTAATTGTTCTAAAACCCTTTGAATAATTTTGTATTATGAGTCTCCCTTAACCATTAAGCGTCCTAATTTCATTGTAAACAATTACCAAACAATTATATTTTATTTTGCACTATATCATGAGAGCCTCTTAATCATTCTAACCACTTAACCATTCAGCACCAAACCGTTCAACAACTTCCAAACAGCTCCTTAGTTTACATGTAATTAATCATATTTAACAAAGAAAACTAATCAAAAACATGTGGTACATCTCGGTCCAAATTATTCCAAACATTTAAAGATGTCAATGTTTTATTGTTAGTCTTTAGGGCAACACCACCATCTTACCTTTGGCTACACTTCTACTATGCTCGTGAAAAATGGTCCCCCTTCGATTGAGACCCTATCCTTTTTCCTATGCACATACACTTGGGGTTTGGACCACCGGTCCCTTTTGACCATTTCATTTTCCCGCAAAACCAAACCAAATTGATGAAACCCTTAATATATATATATATTCGTGCACTATCACGTCTCAATCGGTCATTGGTAGCTATTTCGTGGATATATCTCATCCCGTACACCAGGTTAACAAATACCCATATGTCACAACTGTAGTTAGACAATGTTGCTTGTGAGTTATTACAACTTTTTGTGTGTCAAATGCAACAGTATTTGATTAAGATGGTCACTTATCTTGATTCGAGTTGATTGTAAATCATATGTTCGTGATTGTATATCTTTTCGTTTACGGCATAAAGTACACCGGATGTAATCATTTTTTCCCTCTATAGAATCAAACCCACAATACATATGTCAATATATCTTTAAGGTATGTGATCGATTTCAAATTGGGATCATGATCATTAAGCATATAAAACAATGAAAATATATACATAACTCCATTAATCATAGAATGTCTTTATTCTTTCCACCTTTATTCTATATTTCACTCAAAAACACATGCTGTATACGAAAAGAATCTTTACAACAAACCCTCTCTCTCTCTCTCTCTCTCTCTCTATATATATATGTATGTATGTGTGTGTATATGTTATGGAATGACGTAAAGGATGAGGTGGGATGGATGAACAGTCCCATCGAAGGGGGTCATATATCAAACCAAGGTTGATTCCGAGGCATCTGGAGAAGTGGTGGAGGTTGAAGCCATCTCAGCAGGACTTCGACTTTCTGCATGCTGCTTTGCCACCAGAAAAAGCAGATAAAGGTTTTGGTAAATGGGAAGATGGAACAATCTGAAACCCAATAAAATTCTCGATGCTTTTTTATCAACTTTTTAAGAATATTAAGCGATGCATGCATGCACCCATGTGATCACATCATGCTTAGATATCCCATAATGAAATGTGAGCCAAGGTTTTCATGGAGGCAGGCCCTAGTTCTTCATGAAATCCACCATTCTGTCACTTTCTTAAACAAGAAAAAGAAAGCCCATCTTAATCAAACATATGTATGTTCACAAACCCTAGCTACCAACTTGTGTGATATATCTTTTATGATTTAAGGTCGAATACCTTGTTGTTATCGAGGGATTCGAATTCACGTGTCTTTAGTTTGCTCTATATGCGTTTAGACAACCGACCACGCAAATGCATCTTTCTTAGGTTTCGATAATTCTAATCTTGTTTGCAAGATAATTTGAAGTTTCTGAGTTCAAATTCAAATTCAAATTCAAATTCAAGTTTAATTAGAGATGATTGTACATGCTCAAGTTATATAGAATTCTTGAATGCATTAGTTGGAAAATAAAATCTCATAACCACAAAGAAGATGCATGATTAGTTTGAGCTTAAACTCTAAAGATTAAAAGTGCATGAAAATCCCCTTATGACCACGAAGGTTCAAATGTACAAAGCAAGTGATCGTCCTGAAATTAGTCTGCTCGCATAACGGGTTGGATACTTAGGTCAATTAAAAAAAGGTTTTCATAACGTTATGTAGATTCAACTTGTGGCGAAAGAATCGTGCTCTTTCGACACTTAAAGATGCCCCTGCTTTACGTTGGACGGATTTGATACTCTTTACGAAAATAATATGATTATCTTTGAGTATATATGATTAAAGTGTTTGCACCTATTAAAACTAATAAACACTAAAGTAATTGGCTTTCACTTGTTAACACAATAATATATTATTAAAGTGTTTCACTTGTGAACACATATTTGACCAAATGTTAGATATATATAAATATTGTTTTATGAACACATTGGAACACATGTGAACAATATATACACTATATGAACATTGACGACTACATATATGTTGAAAATAAAACATCCAAGTTTCTTATCATATTAAAATAACAAGTCATCTATAATTTGGAAACAAAAATAAATATACTATTTTAGCTATAATCACGTGATTGATGTTTTTGTAACCGTCAATTAATGAATGTGAAATTAAGACAAAAAAAAAAGAATATTGCGTCCCTAATATTAATTGTATAGTGATAGAAGAACCTAATCTAACAAAGACTTGTGATTAATCTAAATGGTTTGTATTGTTAATATATTTTCCATGGTTAACAAATAATCTTTAACACTCTTCTATATATATATATATATATATGTGTGTGTTTTTGTCTTTTAGCACCACTAAAAAGGTATAAAATGTTAGATTTTGCTATCTTAATTGGCTTCTTTACATTATTTTATGATGATTCACATTCTAAATTTGTGTCAACTTATTCTCCCTAATTGCATTTCTAACTATAAAGTGGGATTTTGTTTATGTATTTGAATAAAAATATTTATTAATTATATATTGTTTTTCGAAGAATCCAAGTGTCTTAGTCAATAAGTCGATTTGGAAAAGAAAAATCTGGTCGGTAATTTTACCCACTGATTTTTATAACTAGCGACGCTGAAGTAATGATAATATATTTTTATAATTTTAGAGGATTGGTGAGTTCATTTATTATATATATATATATATATATATATATCATATACTGAAGTTCAACGACTACTCATGGTTTCTAGCGTCTAAACTTATTCCCGAATCTTCAAGTTTTTAAAATCTCTAAACCCCTACATGTCACCACAATAAAATTGAGTTTATCGGATGCCATAAGTGTTTAAGTGTCCTAATAGATAGAACTTACGTTTATAGAATAAAAAACAATAAAACATCATATCTAAAAGTGTTACAATAAGTTTTTGGACGTCTTACAAGTTATTTAGAATAGTTTTTAAAAATAAAGTGTCATATTAACCATTTTACAAGACACTATTTAGAAAAAAAAATGTTTTATAAAGTGTCCTATAAAAAGATGAATATATAAACACTTCTCAAATTGTACTATAAAATAGCTAAGACGAACTTTATTTTTAAAAAATGCTCTAAAAATTTGTTCCAACTCCCAACTTTTTATAAACTTATTGAAATACTTTTAGATAAGATGTTTTTTTTTCTTTTGTCCTATAAACTTAAAGTCTTATAAAACACTTTATTACTACACTTAACACTTTAAACATCCTATAAATCCGATTCTATTGAACCACAATGGCATAGTTGTTGAGGCCTAGGGGAATGTGGTGGAATATCTCATATGTCTTGGGTTCATTTCCACGTGTCCACAATGGGTCCCATATGCCTTGTTAGACCACAAGTGCATGTGGCTACTGAGTTTATCAGGACTAATGTCACTACTAAATGAAAGACTTTTGCCTACGAACTTTTCTCTGGGAAATCTCTCACTAAAGGGTGATTCGTCACAAAATTTGGTGGGTAAACTGATGTGGGCAATTCAAATCAGTGATCATTCTCTGGGTGATCTATTGGTATTTTCTCGAAAAACATCGAATTCTACCAAATCATGGTATTTTTTGGGTGATCCTTCGGTTATCCCTAACGAAAATTTCTCTGAATGGTTTTTGTGGGTAAGAGTCATTTGCTTTATAGCATGTCTTACAAGCGTAATTTATCGGGATCATTCTGGACATAACCCGAGACACCCTACTGATTCTATTGTAGTGTGTCGTTATCGGCAACAAATGAAGAGAATAAAAGGAGATATAAAAAGGTAATGGATGGAAATTAAGCAAGGTAATTAATGAGAGAATAAAGGGAAAGCACTTTGAAAGAAGGATCAATCCCTTCCAAAAAGCCAAAAAGAAATGTACATATAATCGTCTGATTCTAACCAGACAAAAATATAATAAAGGATTACAACCCCATTATTAGGAATGTTCCATTCTTTATGCCCAAAGAATGTGTAAATGTTCCCATTATTTCAAAGATTCACCATACCTAATCTATTTCAACAAATGGTACAAGATTCTATGCATCATGTACTACAATTAGCAGACGAAGAGGTTTCGGTTGTTTTCGTAGCATGGGGTATGTAAATGGGATCGCGTCTGTCTGTATTAATTCGTTGAATAAGAGGTTAGGCGCGTAGTCCTAAAGCCATTTGTTTTGTTCTCAAACATGTGAAGTAAATTCGAAAGAAGTATATGTGACATCTTTATAAAGATAGAGATAACGATATTCAAAAGACATGATTCTTGCTTTTACGTTTAGATCAAGACCGCTCACCACTAGATAGACGTTTTTTACCGACATTAAATTACAGACCAAATGAATTTTTGTTTTTTTCCCCCCGATAATTTAACTGTCTCTATATGTAGGTAATTACCGACAGATCTAAAAAAAGAAATAAAAAATAAAGTTTTGTGATCAGTTGGTAATTACTGATAGATAAAAAAAAAGCAAAAGATATGTAGAATAATTACCCGACAAATCAGAAGTTAAAGATACGTAGGTAATTACCGACAGATTCAAAAATAAAATAAAAATAAAAATAAAATTGGACCAACGAGAGTATAAGAATTGTCGGGGGTTTTTGAGTTCTAATATGACGTGACTAATTTAATAATTTATCAATCTTGTCTTTATCTTTCTGATTTTTGTTCCATCAAAATTGGGTATTTGTGTCTCATTCAGTAGTATTATGTCCTAGTCTAATGTCACGTCAAATACAAGACGACAAATTCTTATTTATCCCATCAAGTCCCACGTACTAAATGAATCAAAAAAGGTGAACAATTATAGATATCTTTCACCCATACAAAACGACCCAAAAATTTGGGCCAAGACTAAACCACCCTGGAGCCCAATGGGCTGCCCATTCTAAATTGGAGAACAACTATATACAGCTTTAACCCTAACCAAAACCTCCTGGTCCTGAACCTGGTTCAGCCACCTCGTTCTGGGACCGGTGTTCATTGACAAGTCCAAAACTATATTAAGTAAAATTATACTTATTATAATATACTAAAAAGGTATGCGTATAATATAGCAAGATACATCTTGATTTTAATATTTTGTTTTATTTTTTTATCTCAGTCGATGTTATAATATGGTTTTATGTGATTTTGAAAAAGCGACAATATTTTTATGTTTGAAAAAAAATATAAATTTGAAGACTTCGTAAAAATTTGTCAAAAATATATCGATATTAGTATCAAATTAACTATTTAAAATTTCTCATTTTTATGTAATTTTTTAATTCAGTTAATTGTGTTCAATAACGAAGTAATTTATATTTGGTTTAATAATATATTTTTTTATAAAAATAATAATTAATTATTTTGCTTTAATATGCATCAATAAACAGTATTTCATGCATAAAAAATGATTTTTAAGAGTTTTTGTCAAATGTTTTATAATATAGTATAGTATAGATTGTATTTTTATATTCTTAAATTATATTATATTCTTCAACCAATTTTGAACCATTTTTTCTACTGAACAGGGGATAGGCCCAATAAAAAAAGAGGAAGAGGACTGCTAGAGAGGTAGTGAAACCGGGCTTGGCCTATGGATTGCATTCCCTGCCTCATTGCCATGCCCAGCTCCTGGACCCCATTGGGCTGCCCATTCCAAAGAAACTTTTCCGAGTTCCTAGTCTTTGTAAGGTTCTGCCACATGACACCAAGAGTTCTCTTATTTCAAATTTTAATGAAGGTTCACCATCAATCAACAATGTCTAGACTACAAGAATATTGTGATCCAAATTTCAATTCGAATACCGATAAGCAAACATGCCTGAATCATACCTACAAATCATTCGATTCCAGTACAATCCGACTGCATTCGTTAAGCAAATATAACATCTTCTTACAAATGTTTACATTGTCTTGGTTAACCTTCACACGAGTCTCACCTCTTTGTTGCCAATTTCGTGCATGAATTTCATCAGAAAGACATTGAATTCTTCACACAGAAGCACTACGGGAAGTAACAGGATCATGAGGGGGTGTGACAAGAGTTTTCTCCTGTTTCAAATTGTTGTCTGCAGCATCCACTTCAGACCGACTTAGAATTTTTTTTATACGGTGACACCATATAATTTAGACAAAAAATAATTACAAAAAGCACGGTTTTTATCGACGTGTCTTCATGTTTTTACTAACATTCAATATCGCTCGATGTGTTTCTAGCCTAATTTTACTGTTTCGAGGGATTTTTAAAGTTTTTTTTTGCTTGATTTTGAGGGATTTTTTAGTTTTTTTATCCATTTCAAGTGACTTTTTTGGGTTTTTTTGGTTGATTTCAAGAGTTTTTTTGTTTTTTTGTTTTTGGTTGATTACAAGATGCACTTGCACCTTCTTGAACTTTTGAATATCATACGATGACATCTTTTAAAACGATACGATTAGCCACTGAAAATGGTCAAAGTAGTAACATGTATACATACACCATCTTCTTCTATTATACTCTCTAGTAAAACAAGAGAAAACCTTTGACTTTGGACCGTCAAATGAGATCCAATTACCAATTAAACAAAAGGCTTCTTGTAACTTTAAAACCAATTAAACAGTTCTCTGTAAAAATTTGTTTCAAATTTAACTGAGGTTCAGCATCAAACAACAATGTCTAGACTAGAAGGATATTTGTATCTAAATTTAAATCATAATTCTGATAAGCAAACATGTCTGAATCATATCTAGAAACCCTTCGATTCCAGTACAATCTGGCTGCATTTGTTGAGCAGATATAACATTTTCTCAGAAATGTCTATGCTGCCTTGGTTAACCTTCACACGAGTCTCACCTTTTTGCTGCCAATATCGTGCATGAATTTCATCAGAAAGACATTGAATTCCGCATACAGAAGCACCACGGGAAGTAACAAGATCATGAAGGGGTGTGAAGGTAGTTTCCTCCTGTTGCAGATCACTATCTGCATTTGATATTAAGGGTTCTTTAAAGGGACTTGGGGAACTTTGTATTTTATCTTCACTGGCTGAGGTGAACTCCACCTCTTTTTCCAACTCAAACTTGGGCTGTCTCTTCTTCTGTGGAACATGATCTTGAGAAGTTGTGGTGTTAGAATCATGACGCCCGTATCTTTTCACTCTGCGTTTCACTTTATTCTTCAGGCGTCTTTTCGTTTTACTTTGGTCTTTGACTTTAGGCTTTTCCTGACCCAGGATTTCGGCCTCAGAGGGATCTTCTGAAAATGCAACAACGGCCAAATGAGAAGAGTTGGGTTTCCAAAAAAAAGTGAAAAACACAGGACATAGTACCAAAACATCCGTAAACAACTGAATTCTCAAAGTCACGGGTAAAGTCGTGTGAATCACATGTGATTTTGTACGTGAGTTGGTGTAAAATCACATTTGATTCGGCCATTTTCTTATTATCTTAAATACGTACGGTTCTCATTTGAACACAACTCTCTCTCTCTCTCTCTCTCTCTCTCTCTCTATATATATATATATATATATAGATTCAAGCAAATGGATCTACTACTAGATAGATTAGCAAAGGATTGTCATGTTTGTTAATTTACTCAAAGCCAACATCAATAATTGCAAATGTAGAAGCAATGCAAGTGAAATAGATAGCAATCAATTAGTGGAATAAAGAAAGTAGGAAAATTTGGAGCTCCATCTAAATATTAACCTCTTTTATATCTAAGTTTTATATCATGTGCTTGACAAATCTAAATCTACTTAAATAAGCAGATGCATCAGTATATACAGACACATAAATACATGTTATAACTCAAAATTGTTGCATGACTGAAATAGAGAGTTAGTTAATTAGTAATGTTACCTTGAAATAAAGCTATCTCCTGCTTGTCTGATGCCACAACACCATCTCCAGCCCTTGTAGCAACAACACCATCTCCAGCCCTCGTAGCAACAGGATTCACCCCAAATGCAACAAAGTAAGGTTCATCAACCTCTGCATATCTTGCTTTGCGAAAGCCAAGAACTTTGGCAACTTCCTTTGAAGAGTTGATATCTTCAGCCACATTGCTGGGATCCAGTGCCAGTTGYTGAATGAATGCAAGTGTTTCAACTGGTCGGAATTCTTGTCTGAACCCTTCAATCTGCTGCACCGTATAAACCCCTCYAGACTGATACCCATCCAAATCAACATCTAAAAAACCGTCCACATGTGATGGTCGATAGGATGCAAAAAATACGCAGGGACAAGTCATTCCTATTGCAGCTCTGTGGATGACCTCATAAACCGCTTCATTAATAGCTTTCAAGAACAAACGTGAACTAGAATGATTTGAGTATACGCTATAGTTGGATTCAAACGGAATAAGTTTCTTTGGATTCAACCATCTATATGAGTTATCGCCGAAAAAAGAAACAAGCACACGGCCTTCTTTCTTTGCTTGCCGGGCCTGAGGAGTTGATAGAGCTTCATGGTATACAAGGCCAGGCCACCAAGGGTGGCGATCGGCTTTTGCCCATACCAAATCACCAACATGAAATTGATTCTCCATTAATCTCTCTCCGTTTCCCAGACTATTAGATTCTTAGATCCCTTTCTCCTAGTCCGGGGATCAACGTTTTGAACCTTACTTTTCTCTCGATTCACGAAGCCCTTTGATCGCCGCCGCCGCCGCCGCCTCAAAACTATGATCAACCTATGTATTTCCGCCTCTAGGTTTACTATCGACTCAACCCGTCAGTATTTTTAAAACACCCCGATTTCACACTTTATACCGGATACCAAACAACCTTGTCCACAAGGATTCTCTTAACCAATTGCCAACTCATCCCGAGTCGATAGGCCCAATCCTAGAGTGACACTTTGCACGTTGGGTCCTTGACATGTCAAGGATCGGAGAAAGAAGTCTTCAGGTGAAATATTTAACCGACAATTACTAAAACTAGGAAATATCGAACCATACTAATTTCCCCGGTGTAATTCTAAAACAAACACCCGATTACTCAAACTAGGCATTTATTGACTTCACCACGCACCCCAAATTAATACTACAAATCTACAATCATAAACTTTACAATCCAAAGCTCACATCGGCTAGACTTGGACAAAATTTATATATATATATATATATATATATATATATATATATTCTCAAAGGCTTATTTGGAGAGTGATATGTTTATGGTGATTGGAAATCAGTTACGCTTTTAACCCTTTAAATACTTTAGTGGTTTTAATTTACCTCCCTTCCTTTTCCAATTTTTATTTTATACTCTTATCATATCARTTATTTAATTATCAGCTAAAATGTATTAAAATGTGTATTTTTTTTTTACAAATTACATCGTGTTTTGAAAGGTCTTATATGTACCTTCAAAACGAGCCCAATATGGAATATGTTTAAAATTAATTATGTTGTTAATGTTAGCACTTATAAAAAATAACATTTTTAACGCTAGTTGTATGTATGTATGTATGTATGTATGATAAAACCGTGTGTTTTTATTTTATTTTATAAAACGATAGTTAGTTGGTGCAACCACTTCGAAAACTATCTAGATCAACCTCTGTGACTCACTTCCAACTCATCGGATTAAGGATTCTCATAAAAGTCCACAATGGTAGTTGTTATAAGAGCATCTCTAACATCTATACCAAAATAAGACAAAGTAAGATTTTAACAATTTTTTACTCTAACAACTGTGCTATCTTGTATGTTAAAATAGACTAGAAGGATATTCGTGCAATGAATCGAGACTTATTTCAATTTTAATGGTTTGTTTTGTTATTTTTTTTATGTTGATATAATACGGTTTTATATGGTTTTACGAAAAGGATAATGTTTTTATTTTTTGTATAAAATATAAATTTGAAAATATCATAAAATTTAAAAAAAAAATATCAACATTAGTATCAAATTAACTATTTAAAAGTTATTGGTTTTTGTGTAATTTCTTTAATTTAATT